GTTTTATACTTCCCTCCCCCCTTCTTCCCCTAGCTTACCCCTTCCAGCTCCCTCCTCCCAGGTTTCCCCCTCCTCACTCCCACCCTCTCTCTTCCCCTCTCCCACTTCCTTTTCCCAGTCTCCCCAGAGGTTAATCCCCTCCCTCCACTCCCAGTTTTGTTAAATAAAGAGAGTTTCTATTTTTGAACGCTCGTGTCCTTTATTTTGTACATCAGGAAGGGGGGCTAGGGAGGGGTAAGTGGAAGGAGGTGAGGGAGGAATGGGGTATGAGCCCACGATGGGGAGGACTGGGGTGGCTCTGCGGGCTCCTCGGGGTGTAAGCTCTCCTGCAGCCCCCCGGATGGCAGCCTGTGGCAAATGCAGCCAGGGTGATGGCCGAATGCTGTGATGTGCCGAGTGTGGGCACTCAGGGCACTCCAAGTCAGGACTGTTTTGCTGTCCCTCATCGAGGTAGACAAGCAAGCGGGGAACCCTGAGAACTGTCTGTCCGGGATGGGGGTCGGGTCCCTTTAAGCACAGCCCTCGGCTAGCCTGAGACATCAGCTCCATGCTCTTCCTAATCTGATGCCCTGCCGGCACTGCTTCCGGCCATCCTTAACTTTGGTTCAGGGTCCACTCAATGTGGACATGCTAGTTCGAATTAGCAAAACATTAATTCGAACTAGTTTTTAGGTCTAGATGCACTAGTTCGAATTAGCTTAGTTCAAATTAACTAATTCGAATTAAGTTAGTTCGAATTAGTGCTGAGGTGTAGATGTACCCTCAGACATTAAGCTTTAGAGAATGTGACCAAACAAAGGGAGAGACAGATTTTCCCCAGACGGTCAGAGGACACAGCTATATCCCTGTCCCTAGTGGACAGGGAGCATGTGGATCCTAAACATGGGAGCCCCTAATGACATACGAGTCAGCAGAGGCATGGGAAGTCCATGGGAATATACACACAGAGCAGGGGGAGAAACTCTCCAGGGAAGACTTGTAAAATGTTTATTGGACTAGAAAAAGAAGTATGGGAGAGACCCCCCTAGATATCCATCACCTTGGGGACACAAGGTAAAGCACTGCCGGAGCCTGTGGAAGTTGGAGCTGCTAGCTTGTGAGGCTAGAGATGATGGCAACCTGGTATAAATAAGAAAACTCTTTACAGAAAGGTTGTGCCTGGCTAACCGGAAGGTTTGGACTTAGCAAATGGGTGTATTTTGGTTTTGCTTTTTTTACCCTGCCCTGTCATTTCCTTTTGTGCGTTATCACTAAAAGCAGGGCTTCCCAAACCTCTCCCCCAACCATAGGTGCTAACTTCTGCTATAGCTAGGCATCTTCAACCCGCACCTATGCCCCAAGTTATCCCTCTGCCCCAAATTCCACCCCCACTTACCTCCTTTCCCCGCCTGCTCCCCAGTCGTCTCAAAGGTGCCAACGAAGCATTCTGAGGAGATCTCTCTTTCAGTCAGACTGCTCTTAAAAAAAAACCTTGGGAGCACAATGTGGTGTTCAAACAGGGGAAATACGATTTTGTACCAAACTGAACAGTGAGTCACCAAACGCTATTATCACTTGTTGATTTTAAAACCAAAGGGCTCGTCTACACTGGCCCCTTTTCCGGAAGGGGCATGTTAATTTCAGCTATCGTAGTAGGGAAATCCGCGGGGGATTTAAATATCCCCCGCGGCATTTAAATAAAAATGTCCGCCGCTTTTTTCTGGCTTTTAGAAAAGCCGGAAAAGAGCATCTACACTGGCCCCGATCCTCCGGAAAAAGCGCCCTTTTCCGGGGGCTCTTATTCCTACTTCAAAGTAGGAATAAGAGCCTCTGGAAAAGGGCGCTTTTTCCGGAGGATCGGGGCCAGTGTGGACGCTCTTTTCCGGCTTTTCTAAAAGCCAGAAAAAAGCGGCGGACATTTTTATTTAAATGCCGCGGGGGATATTTAAATCCCCCGCGGATTTCCCTACTACGATAGCTGAAATTAACATGCCCCTTCCGGAAAAGGGGCCAGTGTAGACATAGCCAAAGAGTTTTCCCAGCTCTGCACACGGGATGGTGTGTTTCAATTTCATTTGTTTAGCATGTAAGTAAAGACCCAGCTCTATTCTCTGCTCCCAAGAAAAGATTCAAATATTGTGAATACAAGTATAACAAAACTCACGGTGCAGGAGTCTTCTTAATGGGACGGATGCGCCTGCTTCTCCTGCTGCAGTTTTCCCAGCAGAAAACCTGATCTTATCTTCAGTTTTCAGCCTTGCCAGGTTGGAGGAAGGAGGACAGGCAGAGATGCTGCTGCGTGCAGCTTCGTGCCACACCCTGGCCAGATAGCTGGCTGTGGAGAGCATCATGCATTGTGTACGGGGAGTGGCTCTAAGCATGCACAGCAGAGACAGGGAGCTGGGAGAAGAAGGAGAAAGCTCAGTGCTCTGGGGAGCCTTGATCCCTTCTCCACTGCAAAACATCACACCCACACCCTGCTGCCAGCAGGAAATGAGACAGAAGGGACAGTTCAGTGCCTGGCGAGGGGCCCCCGGATACTCCCTGCTGCACAATAGCTCCCCTCACAACCCCACCACTTGCAAGCCTAAGCTGAGGCAGGGAGGAGACCGACTTCCCAACCTGAAAAACCCTCTTTTCCAGGCCATCCTTCTCAAACTTTCCCCACACGTACTCTCCAGGGAAGCTCTGTCCAGCGTTGTGGCTGGAGGAGTGGTCTGCCCTGGAGAAGTGCTAACGGGTGAGGGTTGGTATGAGAGGGGGCGAATGCCCTTACGTGCCCCATCCTCTATCTCCGCCCTTGCTGGCAGACCTCTGGGAACTATGTCACATCCCGCAGTGTGGGAACCCCTGATTCGCCCTCCGGTCTGATTTCACCATAAACCACCTCAGGCCGTTGGACCGAGGGGGTGTGAGCCCCCAGGTAACCTTTCAGGCTGGTCCATGGCCAGGCAGCAGACACAGCAGTTTCAGTCAGTGTCCCGGGAGAGGGACTGGCTGTTGCAGGGAGATGTCCCTGGGGAATGCAGGAACTGGGATGCTCTGACTCTTACCAGCAAGGCAAGGTTGGGACTGGCAGCCTCTCGAGGCGTTTGCCAGTAAAGCAGATGGACTGAGAGCTGACACATGGTCTCGCTGCCAGCAATTGCAAACGGGGCCGTGTTCACCCCTACGGGATTGTGGAGGAACTTACTCTGCTTTTGTTTAAATGCACTTTGCGTGCGCAAGAATTCCTGTGGCTCCAGCTCCTTTATTGTTGCGGGGAACCCCTTTTGGGTATGTGAACACAGGGCATTGTGCCTTGAACAACCTCAGATGAATCCAAATGTAAGCGGGGGAATGATCCCGCTATTGTGGGGAACTTTCCTGGCTTCTATACACCCCGGTGAAATGAACCAGCGAAAGGATCTGAGTCCCCGCTCCCACTTCCTCTACCCCATGGCTCCCTGATCCCGAGGGCTCCCCCTCCACTCTCCGGAGTAGCAGAGCCCTTGAAACCCCAACAAGGCTGGGCCCAGGTTTCCTGGGGCTTAATCCCTGACCTTGTAGTCACTAGGGGCAGGAGTTAGGGTGTCCCCACTCCGAGGTGCTCTCTTTACACTGCAGGCCTTCTTGGCCCAGTGATCACTTCATAAGGTTCAAAGCAAATACAATTTATTAAACAACAACGGATTAAAGAGAAAAGAATAAGAAAAAAATGAGAATGGTTAAATGAGAACACACAGCCCTGCTCTGTAGCACAGGGACATCAAAACAGCAGCCTGCAGAGTATAAGGACAGTCCACAGTCTCTTTCTTAGAGGCCCTGGATATGCTGCAGGGGGGGCTACAGGCTGGACACGCTAGCTCTGGTAGTGACCACACAGTCTCAAGCT